AGTAAACCTTCAAATATACAATTAGATTTGATACGCAGATTGTCATGATAAATTTTAATTTTGGTTAATCATAGGAAATAATGGAACGCAAAAGGAATCAAACTGCAATGCTCTACCACTTAAAAGATAGTTAGTCAAGTTAGTGATGACAGCATTAGAACAGAACTGTTTTAAGATGTTCCTAGCAGTATACTTCATAGTGGTTAATTCAAAAAACTAAAAAATGGAAGGAATAAAGAATTGTCTTACATATTTTATAATTTATAATTTTCCTAAGTATACAATGTTATCACTTCTTTTGTGTCTGCAGTAAAAATCCGAAGGTTAAATTTTTTTTTAGAAAACATCAGTGCTAATAGTAAGCTTTAGTTTATTATATTCCAGGTTGTGAATATTGAAAATGTTTCCTAACATTTCTTTAATTATCAATTCCTAGTGCTACAGAAAATATTGCTAAATGTGTGCAAGCAGTTAGATATAGTTAAAAAATAGTTCCTACCTCAGTACTCTTTAGTTATCCAAGGTTATATAATATATAGGAAACAGTCCCGAGTTTAAAACCGATCAATTTATCAGATATTAATATATCCCAGTTACCTTCAACACGAAAACTTTCTATTCTTACTTCCTAGTCAGTTACCACCTAACTTCTACCACATTTCACTCTTTTTCCTTACCAACTCTCTTATTCTTTATACCAGTCAATAGGCCAAGATATTTATCTGCCATTTACCAGGAAGTAGTCAGACATTTTGAGGAAAAAGGAAATATGAATCTGAGAATATTCTTGAAATATTCATTTAAAACTTATGAGAAATACTATTGCTATAACTAATTTGCTTTTTTTGAAATAATGTGTTTATTAATACTTTTTGTATATAGTAATTATTAAGGAATATTTTAGAAAGTCAAAAGAAAACAATCATAAAATACTCTACAGTGAATCTTGAGGGTACTTGTCCTTATCCTACTCTTGTGACATGTCTTTTATGATTTTTGAGAAATGCTGGCTTGAAATAGCTCACATGTAATAGTAAAATTTTGGACATACCACTCTGGTCAATGAATTTTTATTATTTGAAAGGGGCATACACCAATCAACATGGGTAAATACAAATGATCAAGTTTTAAAAACAAGTGGTTGATGATAGTGAGCTTTATCAGACCAGAAATCAAATATTTTCAACATGGTGGCCTTCACATCTGGTCTTCAGATGGTACCAGTTTTTTCAGGAACTAAGCCGTCTCTATGAGACATGATCAACCAGACATTTCCAGTACATCAACTCATGAATATGAAGACTTGACGATCATGGCTATGATCGGAATTAGGTCAATAATTGCCACTATTGTTTTAACTTGTAGAGGTGTTCAGACTGAAGGGAAATAATCCCCACTCTCACCTTCCGCTAGCCTTTTTTATCCATACACATCAATGAAGGGTAAATCATTAACACATGCTCTCTGACATTAGCCACTGATCTCCAGTCTTTTATAACCTTCAGATATTGTTAAGAAACGACACCCAGTGTCTGAAAAATTGTCACCAAAAGTCTGTGAGACAATAGGTTAAAAAGTTAACTAAACACTCATTGTTTTTATCAAAAAGTTTTTAGTTTTTTAAGCTGAATATACTTGTGAAGCAAGTAAAACTGTATCATAGTCTGAACAAATAATCTTAGGTGGTCATTTTGATGGATACCAGATTTCATAGTTCATGCCAGGCCAGTGTTTCTCATATACTTGTGCTGCCTATCATACTGAACTAAAAGTGTCAAAAATTCTGTCTTCACCAGGAATTACTAACCATGATGTTAAACAAAATAACATATTTCAGCTGACTTGTTTTTTTTTAGCATCTGTACCTCAGCTTGGGTTGAATCCCTGACACAAATGTGCAACTAAATACAATTCAAATGCTTTTCAGCTTCATTTTGGTTTCTAAAAAGAATGGCTTAAGAACGGCGCAGACAAATGATACATTCTTGTGTCAAATTACAACCTTTTCATACATACTTTAATTTCAAGCTAAAATTCACGTAAAATTTTCATGCATGGTTAACCTAATCCAATTTTACATTTATTATAGGACACATATTCATATATTATCTCTTATTAAATTTTAAATATTTCAAGTGGTGAATATCAAAAAATGTCATTGCTTTAATGGATGTCAACATTTTTTGACTATATAAGGGGTGTCAACAATAATATGAAACTGAACATTTAAGACTGGGTGGTGGCTTGAAAAGAAAATTGAAAGATTTTTAGAATTTTGACTTTTAATATGTTGGAGTTTAGGCCATAAATTTAACCAAACCCACTCAAAGAGTTTATCATTCAAGATTGAGATATTGTTCCACTATGATAGTTTAGCCTACTGTGATGATAGTCACAAATGTGGTTTATAATTTAGAATACATTGTTTCACCTTGAGACTTGGTTTATCAGATTGGCGTATCTACAGAGCTAACAGTATTTTTGGAGGGAAATATTTTCATCTTCATAATTCTTTCATTTAATTTTACCTGATCACAAGATAAATAGCAAAAAACATAGTGATCATCTATCAGGGCCATAAGTAGGTTTTTTTTTGTATGAGGCAAAAATCCATTCTTCTTTGAAATCAGTTATGTGCGCAACACTTTCTGTTGACTTCAAACGATAATCACCATTGTGTTACACATCAAATAAGTGATATCCCATCTGTAACTTTTATTTTTTAAACATTTTTTTTTTGCCATTTCAGCATGAGGCTCTTGCGTCATTTGCCTTCATGTGGATATAGACGAGATTTGAATCATCAGCACACCTTCAGAGAATACAATACTGTCAATACAATTAAAAGTTGAACTGCATCAATATAATAGACAATAGTAAGACAGGTGTGTTTACAAATAAAGTGAAATACACCCTATAGATTAAACTTGTAACATAGACAAATAGCTGTAATAGTGTACTGCAATAACAAGGTACAGCACTGTCAATATAACAAACTCGGGTTGGACAAGGCTGATATTCAGCTACCTACTTGAAAGAGATATATAATCTATACACTCAATTTCTGTTCCTAATTGGAGAAGGCAACACTATGCAGTGAGTAATCAGCAAAAGTTTGCTTAGGACAGTGAAATTCTGTTGGTACTATCTTGGCCTGGAGTGAACTCTGGATCTAAAGGTTAACAAGCAACAATACTGTCATAATCAGTTTTTACAATGTTATACCATAATTTGCTACACTGTAGAATACAAATTAAACCAATAAGGCCAGGTCTAACTGCTCTTTTTGGCATATATGCAAAGTGCAATTACAGGCCTTGAAAAAAATACAGTAATCAGTCTTTCCAGATCTTGTTTAACACAAATTAAATAGGACAAAGTTAGAGAGTACTTCTTTTATTATCAGGAAATGTCACTTTCAAATATATGTCTATATTATTAAGAGTATTGAAGCGTATTATTGTCAATCTCAACTGCGACAAAAGAGCTTTTATATACCTGTTTCTTACAGCATGTCAAAACTGAGTATATTCATAATAACTCTGAACACTAAATGAATTATATTAGTATGCGATATATATAACAGTGAGTCATATATACCTAGAGAATAACTTGTATGTCAGTCATACTTGCTGAATATTGAGGTCGTCTATATATAGTAACAGTTGGTCAAATGACACATTAATACTGTAACAAGATTAAATTAGACCACACCCTATTCTCTAGTTATACATGTATATCGTCTCTATACTTAAAACTTGACATTATTTTGCTACCTATTTGGAGCAAATGAAATAATAGTTTTGATAAGAATAAATATATATGACAGTTTCTTCTTGAGAAATGTCCAAAATGGAAGCAGGATCAACTGAATTGAAATGGTTCGTGAAGTCCTTCTTTTCCACTGCAGTACGGGCTTGACCCAAGTCCCACCATGCAGTATGCAATGTGGGAAATCGAGTAAAGACACCATTAATAGCCAACTAATCTTAACTTTCCTACAGTCAAGGTATCTTTAAGATGAACAGTCCGTGGCACATAACACGAACAATCAAAAAATTCTTGTCTTATGGTTTAATTTCATGTCTCATGTTATCAAAATGTTATGGAATTTCATTTGAAAATTGATTCAACATAGATCTAAGATGAAAGCAGATGAGGAATCAGAGAATAAATTTGGCAAAGTATCTATCAACTTAAACTAAATACTGCTAATTTAATTAGAATATAGATCTGTTGTTCAGATGAGTGTTAATAACACTAGGAGTTATATAACTACTGCATACAAATTTGTAAAAATTCAGATCATGGATAAAGTTATGATATGCAAAGAAATTTACTGCATGTTACAAAAAGATGTTTATAAAATGATGGACATACTTTCAATGCAGAATGAGTAATTTTTTGTATTTGAACTAGTTATAGTCGAATACAAATTTGAAATGAATAGTGTCCATTGAAAATGCAAAATGTGTCAAATTGAAGATGCAAAACGTCTCACAATGGAGATATAAATGTGTACATATTCTTAATGTAAAATATGCACAGTCATGTTTTCAATGTAAATGTATACATGTTTTCAAAGTAAACTGTGTACATGTTTTCAATGTAAACTGTTTTCTGTTTTTAATGTAAACTGTGTACATGTTTGCAGTGTAAACTGTGTACTTACTTTCAATGTAAACTGTGTATATATTTTCAATGTAAACTGTAAACATGTTTTAAATCCTGTTTTAAAGTAAAGAATTTACAATAAAGGAGTTTGGTAATATTGGAAATGTAAAATGTTTTCACTTAAATTGTAAAGTGTGTACATGCTTTAAATGTAGAGTTTGAATATTGAAAAAAAAAGTGTGGAAATTATTTCAAATGTAAAGTGTATACATGTTTTATATGCAAAATGTTTACACTTAAATTGAAAAGTGAGTATACATATGAAATGTAGAGCTAGTACATAATGGAAAGTGAAGTGTTTTCATTATTCAAAATGTAAAATGTTATTAACAAAAATATTTTGACTTACATTTGATAAGTTTAACAACATCTATATGGTTTCTATTGGTTACCAAAGTACCGTTCACCTGTAATAATATAATAGTAGAATATAAGACATCAGTACTCAGGCACTGTATTATAACATAGGTAGGTATTTGTTGGGATGCAAATACTCGATAACCCTTAATGGTATTTGAATACAAGTATTGTAGTTGAGTTTATTCCCCACAGAAAATGTGCATCTGATTGGGTTCACAAAGAAGGATAGACTATGTCAAGCAGTGCTGAATGAGGGAAATTTTGCCAGGACACCAGCATTAAATTACTCTCTTTCAATTCACAACCCTCAATAAATCGTTACCTTGCACGGCCTGTATCACACAGGACTTTGATTTGCTGTCATGCATTAGAACAACTTGACACTTTTTGCATGTTAGCACCCTACTTCACTTTTCAACTTAAAATGATTTGGAAGCTCAGATTTTAATCAACAACTAATATCACCAACAACAATTGGAAATCAACTGAGTGAAGATCAAAACATACATATATAACTAATATCTCACTCTCTAAGATAATTTAGCATAAACTCTGCTGACCAAAAGCCTAAAAAACAAATGTCAAGTTGGCAGACAACAAAATGAAGATCCAACTTACCAACTAGGTAGAAATATCTCAGAAACACTTTCATAGGCTACAACTGTTTTTGACAAGTACATTAAGTCTAAGACTTGCTATTCTTAATTCACTTCCCGGTAATAAACATATATTTAACAGTACAAAGACTCTCAATAGAGATTTATATTATATGCATATTGGTATGTAAACCACAAAGAACAATTTATTTATTCAACTTTTAAAGCTGTGCACCAACCATCTATTGTATTATAAATATAGATATTACTTAGAGAACATTCAACAAAGCCCTAGCAGACACAGGTAAAAAAAAAAGTAGAGGCATGTTCTTGCAGATAAATAACTATCTTTAATCCTTTGATAAGGAGACACTTGCGTACTTGATGATACTTCTCTATTGAGGAGTCCACTTCTACACTACCTTTACTCCTAATTTTGCCATTCTTTGGACGATATTTATGATTGACGGAATTGTCTTGCTTGTACAGATTTTAATTCCAAAACTATGGGCCACAATAAATATGATAATAGAGGCAGCTTTTTACAATATATAGTTACAAGATTTCAAAATACCAAAATCTAACTTCATATGTCTGATTAGAAATTTATGTAGCATATCAACCTTATCAAATACCGAATTCCAGTACCACAATATCTTATCTTTTAGACTAAATAGTGGTTGGTATTGGATGTCTTGATAACCTTGTCTATATGTACTAATTATCCTGATTAGATAGGGTCATCCAGTACAGACCTTCTTAAATTTAACATAGTTCAATCAACGTTATGTTTGCTCAAACCACACGATGCAATTAATAGAATAGTATAATCCACATACACTGACATCAATATTAAAGATCTTTTCCCATGTATAAAATAACACCAACAAAATTTGCAACAAAGAATTCTCAACTTCAGATCATGCACCCCGTTCTACAAAGTGCAGAATACTTACCACAAAATTGATTGTAAATTTTTTGTGGAATGGAGCCCTAGACTGTCAGCTGGATGATTTCAATCAATACCTCTATAAAATTGATTGTAAGTTTTTTGTGGAATGGAGCCCTAGACTGTCAGCTGGATGATTTCAATCAATACCTCTATAAAATTGATTGTAAGTTTTTTGTGGAATGGAGCCCTAGACTGTCAGCTGGATGATTTCAATCAATACCTCTATAAAATTGATTGTAAATTTTTTGTGGAATGGAGCCCTAGACTGTCAGCTGGATGATTTCAATCAATACCTCTATAAAATTGATTGTAAGTTTTTTGTGGAATGGAGCCCTAGACTGTCAGCTGGATGATTTCAATCAATACCTCTATAAAATTGATTGTAAGTTTTTTGTGGAATGGAGCCCTAGACTGTCAGCTGGATGATTTCAATCAATACCTCTATAAAATTGATTGTAAGTTTTTTGTGGAATGGAGCCCTAGACTGTCAGCTGGATGATTTCAATCAATACCTCTATAAAATTGATTGTAAGTTTTTTGTGGAATGGAGCCCTAGACTGTCAGCTAGATGATTTCAATCAATACCTCTGATTGGTAAGATCATCAATCCAGAATAGAATCTGATATCAGCATGTTCTTGACAATTCATCTGTATATATATTTATATATATATATATATATATATATAATACAGCTCTCAATAAATAAAGAAATTTAGTCCTTTAAATGTTTGGCACTTTTCTGACGAAGAAATACCACAATAACACTTTAATACAAGAACTCTCCAAAAGGATAAACAAAGGTGAGCTGAGTAAGAATGTAAGATAGTCCTATAATTTTATGAGCCAAAAATTAAAATAACTTACAGAATAAATCACAACCAAAAACTCCAAAAATTTTACTGTTAGTTTTTCAATACAATAGTAATCCTTTTAAATTCTTTTTTATGAATTTCACTTAATCCTCCAGTACAGTATGACCTATTTCCTTTCCTCTAAGACTAGAGAGTCATGTATTGAATAATACATTTCTCATAATGACTTCCTTCTTCTCTGGTTAAAGCCTCTACTTCTCAATTTTTTTTTCTCACCAACAATCAAACTGAAGTCAAATCAGAAGTCAGATGATATAAGTCCAATTGCCCACCTTTGCAACATAACTAAAGTTTGTTTTAGAGAGTTTACAAGCAAAGACCCATCACCTGTATAATACATTCAGAATAAGGTGAAGTTTGGTTAGCAAACAATAGTGAACCATTGAGTTTAGGGGTAGATTCCTAGTGGACCACCTTTTGAATATTTATGCTGCAAGAACACGAACAGTCTTGGTCAGCAATTTTCAAGAGTTTGACCGACTGACTGCTGACACACAAGGAGGCAAAAAAAAAATTCCAGTCGTTTCCCACTAAGTCAATTAGCACGTGTGAATCATGCAATTGATAGGAAAATTGATCTGATTTGATGATGACACTCTGTCTACCAGAGGATAAATCAATTGGCAACAAATATCAAACAGAAATAAAACAATCCTGTCAGCAACACAATAATCTTGTTGTGGAACCTCAGGTACATATGACAAACAGTGACAAACACTGTTCAGAAAGGCTCAATGGTCTACCCAGGCAGGTGAAGTGTTATATGAAGTGGACACCTTGAGTTTTGCTTATTATTTTATATTTCCCAAGAACATATCTTAGAAATTTAACCCATACTTCTAAACCTTATAATGTATTAAATATCAGAAACACATATCAACAGTATAAATTGAGCTCTATTCAAATTAAAGTTGAGATGTATGGAACACTTGTATTTTTCTGAATCTTCTTAAGTATCAGCTCCAAGTTCATGGTTTATTAAATCTCGGTCAAAGCCTTAAGATTGAAAATATGTTTGCTAAACATAATTATTCCAGTAGCATATTTGCATCAAGAGCACAAGAAGGGTGATCATCAATAAGTCAGTGCTCTGTGTAGTTACAATCTTACTTTATCATGGTACAGCACTTAATTTGACTCAGCATTAAAAAATTACCCAAAAAAATTGTGACCAAGAAACTTTAAATAAACCAAACTACACCCAATCTGTATTAATCACACATTTAAAACTACAGTCTCATTTTTTCCTTGTTAAATGTAGGTTATGATCTGACTGAGGTCATGTTGTGACAAGTTTTCCTCATGTACCAGATCTCTGCCAGTGAGTAACAGAATCATGATGGCTACAGCAAAACTTATTATCCAGTTTCCTTCCATTAAAACAATCGTGAAATCTGGATGCTCTGGACTTCAGATTTCAGCAAACTAGACACAAACTTACAAATTTAAGTCCATGTTATTCCATGTAATACTTTCAAAGCATATTGATACATGCATGTATCTATAGAACCTTAATTTGGCCAAATTTGGCTCTATTTAGTCATAATCAAATTAAAGATTTGAGACAATTTCTGTGTTAATCTTTGTAAAACCTTAATACATGAGTTATTGCATATTCAAGATATGGAGGCTAATTGGGAAGAGAAGGTCATATATTAGGAGGAGTTTAATGTGATCTTTTCAGCAGTGGTAGAAGTGCCCTTATAATTTGTTGAACCCATTAGATGCTTTCCTCCCAACACATTCCTCATTGCAATCATGAGCTCTTTAACTTTTCAGTAGTCATTCTCCTAAAGATTATGCCTGTCATATTTCATTCTTTAGAAACACCTTTAAATTCATTTTATTACTAATGAGAACATGTGTTCATTTTCTCTCAAAACAAACAAAATATGCTTTATTACACTTTCTCCTCAATTCTACTTATGATATAACACAAACCAGATTACTTGATGAGATAAACAAACAACAAATACAGGTAAACATTCTAAATATAGTAACAAAACAACCAAAATAACCTTAAATACTGTTGAAAATAGAACTGCGTATAGATCACTACGATAAAACTTTTTACATCGTAAATTTTACACTTTATTCAAATTCTGGTAACTTTACTTGGTGTGCCAATATTCTTATCATCAAAATTAAATCTTTCGTATACTGATAGTTTCAAAGAAATAGAGAAATTTTCAGAACGAACAGTAACGATTATCAACAAGTACACAACAAAAAGGCACCATGCTTTTTTTCATCTTTCTTTAAATTCTACTCAAACTTTCCAAAGTAAACATCCCATTGAAAACACCAATCAAGTACTTTAAACAGATCAGACACATTTTTCAGAACTTTACAATTGCAAAGCACAAAACAGGCCTTGGATTTTAAAAGCAATTCAGCATCATCTTAAAAAGAATGAATTATATACTGTAGAACAAGGCTAGAACTAATCAAAAATCATTAAAACATTACGAGATTTACAAACTCTCAAAATATTTAGACTGCTAACTTGTAAAACATCAAAACATACAGAAACTTATACAAACATTAACAATATTTACATTCTCTAGATTGAAGACAAGAAAACAAAATATAAAGAAATCTACAGAGTTTATATTGCTGTGATCAGATAAATCAAAAAGACAAGTTGAATTTCTGAAAAAGTAGCTAACATCAAAACATAGCCAAACTTGTCAAAATATTTTTTTGAAAAAAAAAACAACAAATGTTAGGCTAGCCTGGCCAAGTATGCTTAACCATTCGGAGCACCTGATAGTGATACCACTCTACAACTCTTCCTGAAAGGAATTGTAAAGAAGTTTTCTAGTAAATCAGGGACCCTTAAAGCATCAATTTGCAATCTTCAGTCAGATGACTATGGTTCCTGCAGTTCCTGAAATTTCACTAAAACTAAGAGTTTTATGATGTCACTATCGCAAAGGGTCAACAAACATTTATTAAGTTATTGTAGAATAGCAGGAACAACAGATGTCTGACTGATAATTCGAATGGTGCAAATTGATGCTATCAGTGTCCCTGATGTACATAAAAAGTTTATAAAACCTCTTTAGAATTCAAATACATTGCCCTGATTATAAATGATGCTTTGGTTGAAGGAACACTACAAGGGATTAAGAGAACCACATCATTAAAATAAAGAAACTCACAAAATTTCAAAATATTTACATAACAGTACTGTGAAACATCAAAACCTTTAGAAACTTATAAACTTCCAAAATATTTACTTTGCTGAGTGGTAAAACATTGAAACCAATTTGTAATGCCAAAACAATAACATAAGACTAACACACAAATAATAACCCGTAAAATATCAAAACATACAGAATATCATTAACTTTCAAATACCATACTAAGAAAGCTAAACATCTGAGACCGTATTAACGTGATGATATGACACTTTAAAATCAATTTTTGCTATCAATATTATCTTTCCTCAGGGTTTTCACAGCCAGTGCTTATTGAGTCAGCAGACTGTTTGCTTGCAACATTACAAGACAAAAGTAGGTATCACGCCAACCTGCTTTAATTAGTGCTTTATTGATGGGGCTAAATAAACTAGATTTACTAGATGTACACTTTTCAAACAACCAACAACTAATGCTTTGAGATTCACTTTAATGTTGACCTCCTCTTACACTATAAATCTTAATTCCAGCTGACATATTCTTTCAGAAATTCCTCTGCAATCAAGATTCTTTCCACTAAATACTTTCATTGATGCATTACACCAAATGCATCAACATTAAACTTACTCCAGATAACCACTATCCAATTTAAATCACATAAAATATATGATAGCATCTACAACTGATGTAAATGTCATTACAAACTGTTTTAATTCACTTTTATATTAACTTGCCAACTTGTTTTACAAATCTGAAAATTGTTTCATTCAAACAATCATTTATTATGATTTAGCTTACAAGCTAAGTTTAATTCAGTTAATATTGAAGATAAAGAGAATGATGATAATCTGGTGGTACAAACTCATCGTAATCATCTGAAAGCAATAACTACAACCAACATCACAGAAAAATATTTTGAACAAGTTTACTTTACATTCACCAATTAATTTTTCACCAAGCACCAGAACAATACACTTTTTTTTTATTTAACTTTATAGAAAGTCCTAATATTCCAAAATTTCAAATTCCAGTTATGACTGAGTTATTTTTACAAGTTATATAACAGTATTCAGTTGATACATAACAATATCAAAATTTTATAGTCTCACCAATGATTTTGAACAATATATTTCCACAGAATTCTACCTTGGTACATGTATATCACAAGCTTAATTATCACATATCCCAATAAGATTGTAAGTAATAAGAAAGCTGTAAGCCAGAATCTAAAGTATAATGATATACCAGTATGATGCTAGAATCAGAGTGTAATATAAAAGACTATAAGATTATAAACTGAAGCCAACCAATAAGATGATAGAAAGATACATGGTGAATAGAGTCAGAATAGATTTACCATAAACTACTCATAAAATTGATCACACTGCTACTCTACAGTGAGAATGGAAATGATAGTAAACTACTTTAATGTATAAACCTGATAGAAAGTTGTAGGAGCAGAGCAGAGTAGAGCAGTTGCAGAGTATTTTTTCAGAGAGAAAGCTTTATCCCTTACGCTTATCCTGGGCCCAGTTTCACAAAATATATTAAAATATAAATTTGACGATATTATGAAATTTTACATGGAGAGAAATACCACAATTACTACTAAATGGGTTTTAAGTAAGATTTTTTGTGAATTGGGGCCTTGAATGCTTGCTTATTCTCATACACTTGTAAAGATCGGTTTGAAATGTAATTCAAATTTTACACTATACATTTACTTAAAATATCTTTAAAAAATTGAAACAACCCTGAGGACAGCAAGGTTAGGTTAGAACAATGGCTAAATATTAGGCAAACGGCTTTTTATATTGTAATTTATCAGTAATACCAAAGAGTAGTGGAATAACTCTGTTGATAGCGAGTTGGATTTGTTGTCTACTATGCGATTAGGTGCCGTGGGTTTGAGTTCTCCTCAAGGTAGGAATAATTCTGATGCCTGTGCTAGTGTTTTCTAGAATCAGTCCGGTGTTGGCTCTCACCCACTAATACCAAAGAGCAATCCAACTTGAAAGCCACTAACAACCTGTTAAAGTGTGTATTTTCTTACCATGACTGATTACAACCCACAATAATTCTGTACTTAAAAATCTTCCTCCTTCAATCAGTTAGCTTTGATCACTTGCCAACTTTTATATTTATAACTTCCTAGTAGAAATAATCAAGTTTATACACAGCAAGTCATAACAGAGTTATTTCCCTTACTACAGAATTCTTCAATGAAAATGTGAGAGCATAAGAGAGCACTCTATCAACCATTCAGCAATTCTTGGCAGTTTCCATAAGCTGAATCTGTATATTGCAGAGAGCTAGTTTTACCCTTTCAACAACCAACAAAAATGTCAAGGTGATCACCTTTTAACTATTTCATACTATACAGCATTTATCAAGCATACACAGATGAGAAACACTAGCAGTTGTAGGCCTAATGATAGACATTTTGTTTAAAAAAAAATGCCAAATCTATTTCAAAGTGAACAACACACAAAAATCTTTCTGTCAGTCAGTTTGAAAGGAGGAATCTCTGACACGGAAAGTGCCTACAATATCTTGACTAAGTTGTTATTATAAAAGTAAGCCTTACCTTGAGTATCTTGTCTCCTTCCTGTACTCCACATCTAGCTGCTGCCCCTTCTGCCTTGACAGACTGAACATAAACAGGGTTATCTCCACTGACAGTTAATCCATAGCCTTTATCATCACGCTGGACAATAACACAGCGCTGGATCATCTGATTCTCTGCAATAATAAATACAGGTATATTAGGGTAAATTGTTAGGGGAATAGTTGTAACATTGTATTGGAACAGGCACAGGATGTATAAGATTATAGTTCTGAATTGTATGTATGTTAATAACTAAAACTTTCAAAATTGTTTGTAATGTTTGGGATGGATGTTATACTTCAATTAGAGATGTATGAAAAGGATGAATAATTTATGGACTGGTTAATTGAATATCAAAAAAAGGATTCATCACAATTTTCGGCATTATTGTCTGTCACTAAATTAAAACTGTTTTCATTTATACTGATCACCATGACAGACAAGAAGATAAGTATACCTGTCTTTTCACCATTTCATGCCCTTTTTTAATGACCTGCAAAGAGAAGTTGACTTACCTCCCGGGGCGCTATCAGGGGTTGTCCCCCCTCCATCCCCTGAATCACGATTTTTCGTTAAGTCATCTTTAGCACTTAGACTGGACAATCTGAAAAACATAAAGGGAAATAATTTTAATTTTTCCAAGAAATTTCTTTTTCTAATGTTTCGACAATTTATATTTTGATACAATTTGTGTTTTTAAACACATGTGTAATGTTTTGTATATTTTTCAACACATATAAAGAGATTATCTGTGTAGGGGTATCCAAATGTGATAAAATTACAGTAATGTAATGTTTTCAGTTGTGGAATGTAAATGTAGCTAGTTGAGATATAGAATCTGAATTGTTAACATAAAATAAAATACCCACAGAACTAAAACATGCACACAAATGTTTTTTATGTGGTATTATAGTGTGAAATGTTAACATTATAAGCAATAATAAGTGTGAGATATCAGTAATATACCCCGGCAGTAACAGCCAAGACGGACCACTTATCACGTTTTCTAAGGTGATTATGATACTGTAATTTGGTGTATATTATGCGTATCACAACTAATTAGCATATTATAATGGCTCATTAGCATAAAATAATAGCTAATCAGCATTTTATGTTGTGTTATCATACTAAATTAGTAACCAGCTTTATATTGGGTTGTTTTTAACATGTTTAAGACCAACTAATACCACCTTAAGGGCACCTGCATGAATTAGAATTAGAGCAGGGTCTTCCAAATTATATCTGATTCCACTGATACCTACACTTGTCCAGCAATCTTAATGTTACCATGGAAATGGGCTAATTTTATTTTAGAGAATATTACTAAACTGGTTTCTGCTAGTCCACGAAGGTAGGTTAACCCCATAATTCCCTTTGAGACAGATATAAAAAGTTTAATAGAACTTTTCTGCTGATGAACAACACGTGAGGAGATAGAAACAAAGGGTTCAAGTTCAAGCACATCAGAATCAATGGCGTTTTATTTTATATAATGAAAGAATGGCTTGTGGCTCCATGGAAAATTTTGTTGCCCCTGCTTTCATGAAACAACTGACAGTCTGTATTTACTGGTATAAATTATTTTCAGTGAACTAATTTGAGTATTTACTTTTCAGGTTAGAAGTCTAGAAGAGTCTAAACAGCTGATAACATGCAACACTAAAATCTACAATAATTGATTGTGTCAACCATAATTTTACAATAAAACTTGAATCCGCCTAAGATAAGGATTGCATTCTAAATGATAGGCCTATTCACAGGAGATACCTAGAGTGCCTTAAACTCGAATAATATTGTTTTTCAATTTTCTTGATATGAAGTTTGGAACAGAAAGCATAGAACATACTGAGCAAACTGTCCTTCAGCATTAGAAAAATTTGATAATCAATCAGTTGATCAGAGTAGGTGTGCAGGTAGGCGTGTTTTATCTTTATAGTACCTCCATAACTCTCATGTTTAAATAGAGTCTAGCAGGTGGAGAATGCTAAAATATGATAAGGAAATCCATAAATCTCTTTCACTGTAGTCTGCCCGGCTCCTTGGTCTAATTCAATCACCCATTAGATGCTAATAACTTTTGGACACTGCTTAGAACTCTAGTTTTATTTACATAGATATATGGGAATTTTGAGATGTTTGAATTCGAATACAATGTCTGACAATGAAGAAACAAAACCTAATTTGTGACCCCCTGTGCTGAACTTTCTTTGAGAGAAAGGGATGACTAAAGAAGCTTTCATAAATGTAGCACATGAGAGAACAACAGGGCATTTTTTCGTCCAACATTTCATGGAATGGAATTGATACCGGAACTGGCCCAGTGTTCAGTATCTTATTAAACTCCAGTAAAGATGAAAATATGTTCCAATGAAGAAAGTAAAGTGCTTCTCTGCAAAATATTTTGCTAACTCTACCTGAAACATTTGGTTCAAACATACAATTAATGTTGTTTAACCATACAATTTTCAGATTAAAATGGCCTCTTATGACCTGCTACTGAATACTGATCTTACAATTGGCAAGGTCAAGAGATAAAAGAAAGCGAAAGTAAACAAAACTCTCTCAGGTCAAATCAAATCACCTGATATCACTCTGATCTTTAATCAGTGGCCTAAATCTGGTTTCTATAATCCCTCAGTAATCTCTTTTATCTGCTATTAGTGAGCATTACACAGAGTAGGGGCCACAATAGGGGAACAGACTATAACTGGACATAGCTGACTGAGGAAAGCAGCCAGCCCACTTTGACCTTAGGGTGACCTTTATATGACATAGCAAATTTGAAAGATCAGGGGAGGTGGGAGAGAGATACAAGTTGTAATTTGAATCCACCTTTTCAAATCAGTTTGTTTCTGTAAACAGCATGATGTCTACTTTATAAGATTGATGTTCAGCCATTTTGTTTAAAATGTAGAGCAGTCATACATATTTAATGCTGTCTGGTGTAAAGATAATTCTTCCAGGACTTTTATCACAATCATTTTTTTTACTCTGGTTGGAGTAAAACATGACTTCAACATCTCTAAACTTAGTAAGTTGAGAACAATCACTACAATTCGCCTTCCTAAACTAACAAACTGGACATTGACCTTTTTCTAGTCTATGAACCTGTCAGAATTGCAATCTAGTCTATGAACTTGTCAGAATTGCAATCTAGTCTCTGACCTTGTCAGAATTGCAATCTAGTCTATGAACTTGTCAGTATTGCAATCTAGTCTATAAACTTGTCAGAATTGCAAACTAGTCTATAAACCTGTCAGAATTGCAATCTAGTCTATAAACTTGTCAGAATTGCAATCTAGTTGATGAACTTGTCAGAATTGCAATCTAGTCGATGAACTTGTCAGAATTGCAATCTAACTATAAACCTATCAGAATTGCAATCTAGTCTATAAACTTGTCAGAATTGCAATCTAGTCCATAAACTTGTCAGAATTGCAATCTAGTCGATGAACTCGTCAGAATTGCAATCTAGTCGATGAACTTGTCAGAATTGCAATCTAACTATAAACCTGTCAGAATTGCAATCTAGTCTATAAACTTGTCAGAATTGCAATCTAGTCTATAAACTTGTCAGAATTGCAATCTAGTATATGAACTTGTCAGAATTGCAATTTAGTCGATGAACTTGTCAGAATTGCAATCTAGTTGATGAACTTGTCAGAATTGCAATCTAGTCTATAAACCTGTCAGAATTGCAATCTAGTCTATAAACTTGTCAGAATTGCAATCTAGTCGATGAACTTGTCAGAATTGCAATCTAGTCGATGAACTTGTCAGAATTGCAATCTAACTATAAACCTGTCAGAATTGCAATCTAGTCTATAAAAATGTCAGAATTGCAATCTAGTCTATAAACTTGTCAGAATTGCAATCTAGTCGATGAACTTGTCAGAATTGCAATCTAGTCGATGAACTTGTCAAAATTGCAATCTAACTATAAACCTGTCAGAATTGTAATCTAGTCTATAAACTTGTCAGAATTGCAATCTAGTCAAGAAGTTGACACTGAACATCCGGGCAGTTCAAAATAGTAATCATGGCCAGAAGTCATGCTGATTTGCTGAAGATTTATCTGTAAAAAGTTCTTTTCAAGGTAAGGGTGGTAAGGTAATTAAAGAGTATTTTAATGCACCTAGTAATACTTGGAATAAGTTGAATATACCTTCAATGTCATCTTCGTTTACCTAGAGCCGAAACCTTTTCGATTTTGACAAGTTCATAGACAAGGAGCATTCTTTTCTATATCAACCAGACAACAGTTCTCATGTTAATCCTTCCAGAACACCTGATGCCAATCTGAGCTGGCTGGGGTTTGTCATCTCAGTTACATTTTAAAAACAACCTATCACAGAGCTACTTGCTATATCTTGGTTATCAAGTGTGTTTATTTTGTAAAATTTAATAGTTACAGAGCATATATTTAAAGTGATACTATGTCTTAGAATGAACATAAAATTCAAGTTCTCGAAATGGTCAATATGAGTATATTTGCATCAGTTTACCTGGTGTCATAAAGTTACAACAGAATCCCTGTAAAATCTGTAAAATTGGAAAATTCATAAAACTAAGCAACTATTGAAAAAAGCTTAATCTTGATATTAAGCATTTTTCATTAGTTAATTGCATATTTATAGATAATTACTAAGTATTTGGATTTATCGGGTAATATAAGGATCCTGTTATGTTATTTATGACACCAGGTATATCTAGTGACTATTATTCGCCAAGTTTAAAATTCTTAAATTTTATGTTAATTCCAAGAAGTAGTATCACTTTAAAGAATATTTCTCATGTTTTTTCATGAGATGCCAATTAAAGAACTAGCACTTGTTGCTTTCAGAATTAAATCCTTAGATTTCACGTCCAATTTATTTCAAAACCATAATTGGACTAGAATAGAAAATGAGAATTGACATGTTTCAGTTTAAAATCTGTTAGATAAACACTGAAGCCTTCTGTCATCCTCAATTGATTTTACAATGCACAATTTCTATTGGTACAATACATGTTTCCATGGTAACAGATTAAAACTATGTTTCAGTCTTGTATTATCATAAGATTATTCAATTTACAGACAGCTGCTGAATTAATGCATTGCAGATAAAAAAAATCGGCAGGTTTAT